GGTCACTATTTCTCCCATGTGGACGCAGCTGAATCCACAAGAGACCAGCGGCCAGCGGCCAGCTTGAAAACCCGCCGAGAAGCACGAGTGTGGCCGTATCATGACCACAAGCATCGCCATCATGTCGGTCTGTGTTTGTGATAGGCACTTTTCGGAGCGATAAAAGAAGAAAGTAAATACACAGTTGTCATTAGCCGTTTTCACGACGGGCTATCAGGCGAATGCGCCTTTTTGACCAAATCTGCACCTAATCTCTTTTACAGCAAATATCTTCATTTTATGAATTTATTTCAGTGTTTTAATCGATGATGCTCTCTGATAATATGACAAAGCAGGCATATAAGCAATTAGTGCAACCCTAGCTGATAGCTGCTAAGAGACACAATGAGCCTAATTTGACCAAATCTGCACCTAATCTCTACCAGATGTGCCCCAATTGTGTACCAGATGGCCGTCGTGAAAACGGCTATTAACCCTCGCCCGGCGAGGGGGGTTGATGCAACCCCCCTAAGGTTTTTCGCAAATACCGTAAAAACGGCGGCGCGTAGCGGCGCCAAATTTTGCATACCCTCTGGGGCAACCTTTTCGTACCTTTCCTGAAAATTTGAAGTCCCAGTATTTTCAGGTTAGGTCACCAGGTCACAAAACCGGTACAAGGTCAGGGGAAAATTGGACTAGCTTAGCGGTAACTGAATTCCAGAGTTCACTTAAATTTGTAATATAGTATATCATTCGATGTACACGGACGTCCTGAGTTCACTGGTGCTTTTATTTTTGCTCTATCTTTACTAGGTAAAAAGTTATAAGCGAAAAACGTTTGGCATGTTTTAGTAAAGTTTTTGCATTCATACCCCTCAAATACCCTCTAAATATTGACTAAGAGTCACCAAACTTTCACAGGGGCGAGATCTCCTATTGACCCACCTACCCTGTAAATTTGGCGTTTCTAAGTGCCATAGGAGCCAATCGCGAGGGGGTTCATTGACCTGACCTGGAAGTTCAACCAATGACCTAGGACCTCAAAATTGGGTATCATCGGCTTTGTCTCGTGACGGGCAGCATGCTCGTTTTTTTCGCGAAGCATTAGCTCGATCAGGGGCCAAACGGAAAGGGGGGTCCAACCGACCCCCCCCCCCCTGCACGTTAGAAGCTGGCAAACGCCGCATACATGCGAGGGTTAAAGTCCTTTAAGCTGCTGCTATACACCATACTAGTGATGTCAATTAAGGAAAATCGTGATACCGATACCAAAGCAAATACAAGCATAAGCCATGGGAAAATACCGAAACCAAACAAACTCGGGAAAATCAGGTAAGTACCAACTTTTTACCAAACTCACAGCCTTTTCATATAAGCGACGATTCAAAACAAAATCCTAAGGTGGGGGGGGGGCACCTATAGACATCGCCTTGGTACATCGCTAGAGACCGGTTAGTAGGGCACTGACTACCGTCAACCGTGCACAAGTCAGTTGGAAGTAACATCCCCCTCGCAATTACGCAAATGCAAGGGCCACCCCCTCGCTGGCTCGTCTGTCGCCCCCCCCCCCCCCAAGGTGTCTTACTGGCATTAACACTAAATACCAGTCTGAAGAGTGACCATTAGTGCGTAGGTATGCATATCATTAGAATCAGCACTGCTTTTGAAATCCAGCAATAACAAAAACAAGTCGATCCCTTGCAAATTCTCAAACCCTGGGCCTGATAATTCCTTTAAAATCCGCGAGTAGCTGGGGAGGGGGGCGTAGGTACATCCCCACTTTTTCGCCGCGCTATCGCTAAAAATACGGCGCGCCGCAGCCGCACCAAATTTTGGTTACCTCTAGGGAATCGATTGAAGTTTATTGTTTCGTATATCGTTGAGAGCTTCTGCGAGGAGCATGATAAATGTAGGAAGTATCATCGTCGTGTTCTTTCGTTTGCCCTCTCGTGCGTTTCGCTGCGTCTATAGGTTCTCGAGTTATCGACTGGGGGCGTTTACCCCCCCCCCCCCCCCAGCAAATGGCGGGTGGCGAAATACCCCCACCAACTGCCGGGTGCTTAGTTACGAAGCAATTGTAGACTTTCGTCAACAAACCCTCCAGTAACTAGCAAGACTCCAATAAAAAAAAAACGCGAGCTGATGCTTCACCGCGTGTTTAGCCTGAGATGAGCACGGAGTCGGGACGCGGCTACCCTCCTGCCCTCCCTTTCCCACCCGATCGTCGCCAGCGCGGCATTCCGGAAAGGATTAGCCATATCCATCCCCGATCTACGATCAAAAAGCACCGAGAGACTGCATGGCTACAAGTCGGAATATAAAACAGAGGCAAGGCTAGTAGCTTGCACTCCGTCATGTGCCTTCAATGACCTGAAACTCCTTCAATTGCAAGAATGATAGTAGTGAGCAGAATCAGATACTACTTGTTGCGAGCGAGGGACCGAAGCGGTCTTTTCAATATTACGGACAAATCTCGGTAGGAGCGGCCCGGCTCGGACCGGCCCGGCCTGTAACACTTTAAACCCTCGTCCTGTTGGGGGGGAGCTATTTTTGTCCCCTCCAGTCTTTTCGCAATATCATTAAAACTGCTGCGCCGATCGTCGCGAAACTTTCACTACCCTCTCGTACATTCCTTTTACACATTGTGTTCAGAAATTGTTCAATTGCCTATGATAGGTTGGCCAGAAATGACGTCAGAGTGACATCATTTTCATCGATTTAAAAGGCTAATATCTCAGCAACCGCTGCACAGTGTGGCCGAGCACCAATTTAGCGCGAATTTAATCCCAGCGCCGCTCAGATCCACTGAAAATGGCTCCCTGGTTCCAAAATTGACACCCTTATGTGAGACCTTTTGCGATACATTGTAAATGCTTGCTGGCACACAGCGACGTAATTTCGCAGAAAAAGTGAGGGGAACTAGGTCACGACGGGTGATGTATTTACCAGGGCCGGGCAGTCGATTGATCTTCGGGTACTCTGACTTCGACTCCGACTCAAGCTTCCAAAAATCAATTTCGACTCCGACTCCGGGCTGAACTGTCGATAGACTCTGACTCCGATTCCGCAGCCATGACAAGTCTGCGGAGTCGATGAATTTTGGTGACTCCGACCCCGAGTCTGGCTCCGGATTCCAAAATCGATTTTATTTCGACTCTAACTCCGGTCAGAACTTCCACCAGATATGGACTCAGACTCCGCAATCCTGGTATTTACCAGCAAGTAAGAGGCATAAAATTAAAGAACAAGTGCGTGGTGCTTCGTTCCCATTACTATTCCGCCAAAGGTCTGGTGCGACCCAGTTTCATCCAACGATACAAGGCTGCTATAAGGTCAAGGTCACATGAGAGTTTCCTTGCTAAAAGTTTTTTCACTGATTCAAGTCGGCCAAATGATGAAGACATTCTTGCCATGTTAAGGCTCTAAATAAATGCTTACAGCAAACTGGATGCCAGATTCGTGATCAGCGGTTACGAATCGTATATATAAGCTACCATTCATGTGTCTAGGCAAAAAGAAGGTCATTCGAGGTCACATGAGGTCAACATAAAACTTGAACTTTTCCATGCAAAATGTATGTCATTCGACGCGTCTTGACAAGACGAATGCGATAGTACCACTACTGTAGCTCTCGGACCATTTTTTTTTAGTTATTTGCGAAACACCAAAACCTCAGCTCAGGGTCGTTGACCTGACCTCTGATCTCAGGTCACCAAAACTATTTTCATACTTTTTTACCAGGGGTGCGGAGCCGGAGACGCCGGAGCCGGCATATTTTGCCCGGAGCCGGAGCCGGAGCCGGAGCCGTCGAAAAAGGGGGCGACTCCGGCTCCTTTTTTTGAAGAGGAAAAATTATTGACCTAGTTCGGTTTGACAGTTCAAGGCAGTAAAACATGCGGTAGTCAAAATATGAAAATAGCCTTGTTATGCAAATACAGAAGCAGCGCGCACCAAACCCATCATCTTGTTTCTTCCACCCGTATTTAATTGCATAGGGGATGTACTTACTATTGGAGCCGGAGCCGGAGCCGGAGCAGCCGGAGCCGGACCATTTTACTCGGAGCCGAAGCCGGAGCCGGAGTCGCCATCGCATTTCACCCGGAGCCGGAGCCGGAGCCGATTTTTTTCTCTGGAGCCGGAGCCGTCTGAAATTTTCACGGCTCCGCATCCCTGCTTTTTACCCACATCAAACGCCACGCAACCGCTTCTGTTATTTGTCACAATCGTTTTGTCATAATTGTTTCATAATCGTTTTGTTCCATGATATATTATTTGGGCATTTTGGGTAGGGTGAGTCAGGTGACGTCAGGTATGGTCGATCATCAGGCTATTCTTATTTCGTCTTTACCAACACTGATAGCATCAGCCCGTGCCGCTGGTCACTACAGCGAAACTTGAGCAGCACACCCAGCGCCACTATCCACTCGCTCCTCGGCTAATTACTTCGACTGCCCGGCTCGGCCCGACCCTGCCCGGCCACCCTACCCGGAACAAATTGGACTCTGCGGGAGGTCGCGGGAGGGACCACAGCTTCAATGGGCCGCCCGACCCTTCATTAGGGGGCGCCACCGGACAGAAGAGTGTATACGGCGGCCAATGGGGATGTTCGCGCTAAGAGTTCCGAAAAGTCTCGCCAGGTGGCAGCACGGTATGCTTTGGACACAACGCGCCGGCCGGGCCGGGGATAACACTGCGGGCGGCGACGGCGGCCGACGCGCCGCGAACGGAAACTGCGTTTCATGTCTTTTTCAGGTTCATCATTTTGCTAAAATGAGTAGCTACAGTTGATTTCGATATTAGGAAGACAATGACGCGTGTGAAAGGCAAACTACTACATCGTCATTGAGCGGAAGGAAAGGCAGCTGATCGAATGGTCACCAAAAGCTACGGAGTACGAAAGATACGATGTTATCACATATTTTAACTTACACAGTTGAAATTAAAAATCTTATTACATTCAGACATATATTCACACGCATGAAACAATCGATTTACAGCACACATTCCATGACAAGAACGCATACCTACGGCCTTAAGTTGACTTCTAGCGCTCGTCACTGTCAGATAAGTCAATCACATCCCTGTAGTTTGTACAGACTATTGACTTAACCCTTCATCCGGCATGCGTCCATTCTGTTATGATGGGCAACGAATCACCGGCGATTTCTGCGTGGCTCTATATGACATCCTCGTCCGTTCCCCAGGTCAATTGGTTCGGTGACTTTCAAATTATAGCAGGCCCTTCCTCGGTCAGGCTTGATGGATCCACCGTCACTTTGCGCGGTACTTTTAAGACAGACTGTACCTTCTACCAACACGACTGACTGATTACAATCTGATGAGGGACAATATCTCATCGGTCTATCAGTTGAAGTTTAATGTTCAGCGACACAAGTGTGAAGGATGCCTGGAAAACTTGCAACAAACTAAGTAAACTAAGCTTGGCTTGTAGTGGGCACTAACTTGTAATAAAGAGGTACTTAATTAACAAATCCACAATGTTCTGTTCAGGCAAGTAGCCTTCACATATGAAGCATTGCTATGACTACTCTTCCAGAGCTGATTGATAGCTTTTGAAGGAAGGAGCTGAGTGGCTGAGCCCTACCATTCACCACTCAACAATTGCTTAAGGCATGCAGTTCTCTATCATTAGAAAATATCTGACAATTTGCTGGCTCTCATTTGTGTATGATGCAACACGCTTTGCATCAGTGATACTATGACACGAAATGTTGAACACTAGCATAGGTTGCAATGTAGATTAAAGGTGTCCCAGAAGCCAGAGCAAAAATTGACTCCTTAATCAACTTCATGATTGTGGCAAAACTCCACTGCTTGACTACACAGAGCACCAACTGTTTGCTCCTCTAAACTTTCACCAAAGGAAGTGTTGCTGATGTCATTTGTAGCAGCAGTGACACTGGTAACTTCAAATCACAGGATCTAGTAGCATCCATGCTCTTGAATCTGGATCTTATCAATGCAGCATTGCACCTGTGAATAAATGAAAAATGGCATAAGACAGTAGGGAAAGATCTTGGCAAGTCATAATGAGATACACATGTTTAACATGCATGGATAAAAGAACATTATATACTGAAGCAATTAGCAAAACATTGCAGTTTAAGCACAGTTGAAATCTGATATGATGATCTGGATACAGTGACATCATCAAACTTAGAGTACACAAAGTGAACTTTACACAAAGTATTTGCAATTTTGAAATGCACTTTTATTGCAGTTACCTACACAAATATTCTAGAAGGTGAAAAATTTATTTTAAAAAACAAAAAAAAACTTGCCCGTATTTAGTTGCTAAAAAAGCTGAGTGAATATTCTAAAATAGTGTTCACTTCAGTGTGAATCAAAGCTTAGAGTAAACAGTTATTTACCTGATGAAATGAAGATATTATATCAATAATGAGTTAGCTTTAGATGGTGATGAGAAAAAAACATTTTGCAAGAAAGGCTATCAGTTACTTCTGGATGATATACTGCAGTGCAAAAGCTGTTCACCAACTCCTACCTGGTCTTTCAGTGGGATCCCTCTGTATGCACCTCAGAACTTCATCCGCAGGGCTGGTTCCTTCATACGCAGGTCCTCTGCCTTCCTTGATTCCTCGGACTCCATCCTGACAACTCCGCACCAGTGACCAGAAGCATGATTGCACTGGGCATCTGTAACACCACGTAGGATTATCAATACTTATAACAATTCATAAATAGTAGGTAGCTTAGTGTTCTATTACATATACCTCCTGGTTGCTGGTGTAAAAATAGATCCTATTTGTCTTTTTCCATCATAACCTTTATCTGCATGCAATATCTTTGGTAACAGACAAAGTAGAACACTGCTAAAATGCTTGCAATGAATCTTATAAAAATGCATTGAATTTATAAATCATTCTCAGCAGCATGTATCATCTTTTAATGCCTCTCTCAAAGGGCAGGTCAATTTCCTATATTGATATGCCCATAAACTTATACAGGTAAATTACCTCATATGGGCATATACAAGATCCAGCTATGAGTTAAGTTAGACTATTTTATACTCTTAGTTAAGTTCGCCATAAAAAAATGTCTGGAAACGTGTTTACATCCATGGAATTACCGTTTGGAGTCGGTCTATCTTCGGCTTCTCGCCTCTCTTCGGCTACGTCAATTGAAGCCTTTCTAAGTCTCCTGTCCTTTGTAAACTTGCCTTTCCATGTTTGTGACACTTGCTGAATATAAATTCACAACCCATCTGAGCAAAATTCAAATCAATTGCTATCAAATTCACCGAAATTCAGTCCCTCGGAACGACACCGCACGGACTCCACACAGTGCAAAACACAGTGGCGCATTCGCCGCCACAGTTTCTGTGTCCAAAGAAGGCAGTGCTGCCACCTGGTGAGGAAATAAGCCGAACATCCCCATTTTCACACACATTTTACACACATATTGACAGAACACCGACTTAACAGGACCGACCTCAAAATGGCCCTAGGGCATGTTTAGAGGCCAAGGAACATGGCCCCGGTCTTGGAATTGTCAGGACCGGGTTTTCGGTCCTGACAGGGAAATCGGTCCTGTCGGGTCGGTGTGTATCCCGTCATCGGCCCTGACAAGTGAGTGCTTACACACGCACACACACACACACACACGCACACACGCACACACGCACACACGCACACACGCACACACGCACACACGCACACACGCACACACGCACACACGCACACACGCACACACGCACACACGCACACACGCACACACGCACACACGCACACACGCACACACGCACACACGCACACACGCACACACGCACACACGCACACACGCACACACGCACACACGCACACACGCACACACGCACACACGCACACACGCACACACGCACACACGCACACACGCACACACGCACACACGCACACACGCACACACGCACACACGCACACACGCACACACGCACACACGCACACACGCACACACGCACACACGCACACACGCACACACGCACACACGCACACACGCACACACGCACACACGCACACACGCACACACGCACACACGCACACACGCACACACGCACACACGCACACACGCACACACGCACACACGCACACACGCACACACGCACACACGCACACACGCACACACGCACACACGCACACACGCACACACGCACACACGCACACACGCACACACGCACACACGCACACACGCACACACGCACACACGCACACACGCACACACGCACACACGCACACACGCACACACGCACACACGCACACACGCACACACGCACACACGCACACACGCACACACGCACACACGCACACACGCACACACGCACACACGCACACACACACACACACACACACACACACACACACACACACACACACACACACACACACACACACACACACACACACACACACACACACACACACACACACACACACACACACACACACACACACACACACACACACACACACACACACACACACACACACACACACACACACACACACACACACACACACACACACACACACACACACACACACACACACACACACACACACACACACACACACACACACACACACACACACACACACACACACACACACACACACACACACACACACACACACACACACACACACACACACACACACACACACACACACACACACACACACACACACACACACACACACACACACACACACACACACACACACACACACACACACACACACACACACACACACACACACACACACACACACACACACACACACACACACACACACACACACACACACACACACACACACACACACACACACACACACACACACACACACACACACACACACACACACACACACACACACACACACACACACACACACACACACACACACACACACACACACACACACACACACACACACACACACACACACACACACATACACACTGAAAATCATATTCCCTCAGCAGAGAGAAAAATCATATTCAAAGACCCTCAGCAAAGACAAAATGAAAAATCACATTCCAAAATGTTACCACCAGGGCCTCGTTTCATTAAGCGAGTCCGTAACTTACGGCGTTTTTTGGTCTTGTATTGCAGGTGCATGTGAAGCGATGCCGTTAGTTTAAAATGTTTAATTTATTTATCTTGCAAGCAAGAATAGCAGGGAGAAGGGGAAATAAATTTATCGCTTCACATGCACTTGCAATACAAGACCAAAAAACCGGCGTAAGTTACGAACTCGCTTCAGGTGGTTGCCAAGAGGTACCGCTTGTGATATAGGAGGGTTTTCAACAATTTTCAGCTAAAGGCCTATCAGGAAAATTTTCTGAAAATTGACTTACAGAAATGACTCCGGGGGACAAGAGGGTTAAGCTCCTTTCACACACGAATTAACCCGGCAGGCGGTGGGCCTCCCGGCCACCTTCTACGCGGTGGGGGGGGGGGCATTTTTTGCCCCCCGTATCTCCGAAACTACTGGACGGATCCGGAAAATTAAAACAGCGTTCGATAGCTCTGTCAAATTTGTCGAACGAAACCAAATTTCATTGACGTCGGGGTCACCGATGACGTCACAGTTCAGGTCAAAGATAAAATGTTTCACCGTTCACGGGTCATCTAGGGAAAGCGCTATAACGCCGAGAAAAACACATTTTGTCGAAAATCAGCGATAGGGCGTCAGTTTTCTAGTACACATGTTGCTCTTAGAGGTCACTGGTCATACCAGGTCAGGTCACAGGTCAGGTCACCAAGGGTCACCACATGAACCCAACTTTACTAAGGTTGTGCGATGCATGTTTTATGGCCAGTTTTCATTTCCAACTCAATGGTGTTGGTTATAAGACCATCAGGTACGGTTTAGGTCACTTTCTGGTGGAGGCATAGGTGTAGCAACGTATCTCTTTGGTGAAGGATACCTTTCACCAAAGTTTTAGATTGGTGAAGGATCCTTCACCAATCTTGAGCAATGCAGGTGAGGGTCTTCACCAATGCTAGAACGACTGGGTTCGACGGTCGATCTAATGTTAAAAAAGAAAAGCAATGCCGAATGGGATGAACAAAAAGGCTAAAACGGCAACAGGTACCCAATTACTCCATCCTTTCAGTTATGAAGTGTTATGCCCACCTTCTTCACAATTCACGCCATTTAATAAACCAGTATAACGCCTTTTGGGGCGACTAACGGAGCGAGCGAGAGGGTGAGCTTTGCACGTGCGAAATTTCGACGGGGTACCTCCAGCTGACTTGTGCACGGCACCCTACTAACCGGTCTCTAGCGATGTGCCAAATTTGAGCACAATCGGCCCAGTCGTTCTCGAGATCTGGAAGCGGCACCCTGCACGTGCGCACGTGCAAAATGGGTCCCAACTGACTTTTGCACGGCACCCTACTAACCGGTCCCTAACTGTGTACCAAATTTGAGCGCCATCGGTCCAGCCATTCTCGAGATCTGGAATCGACCCCTGCACGTGCGCACGTGCAGCAGCACCCCAACTCTGGCACATGGATATGCATTGCCTAGTGGGTGCCTACCTACATGCCAACTTTCAGCGCAATCGGCTAAGTAGTTACCGAGATATTGCAACAATTACAAAAGTGACACTTCTTCGTTTTGCACGTGGCACGTGCATAAGGGGTCACCCACATGCATCGGGAATAGTCCAATACTTGGTAGAAGGAATGAAGCTACCCTACAAAAATTACCGCGTGTAAATCGGTCAAGTGGTTGCTGAGATATAAGCGTCGCAGAATCGTGACCACAGCCGGCCGGCCGGCCGGTCGGCCGGCCGCTCATACTCAGAAATTTCCGTTAATCTAAGGAAAGACTACGCTCGCTTCGCTCGCTCCGTAATGATAGGTAAAGTCGAAAACTGTATTGAGGTTGGTAAACGTGTAAATGTGTCTCAGTAAATGCCGTGAATATCAAAATATATTGGCTTGTTTTTACTCGTCGGAAAGTTGTAAGACTGGTCACGAAAAAAGAGCAGTGGAGCATACCTTTAGGTTCCAAAGGTATGCTTTGATAGTGGATACCTTTGGTAGGTATCCAAAGGTATGCTTGGATGCCTAAAAATTCAATTTTAGGCATGTACGCGTTAATTAGATGTTGGCGTTAATTAGATGATAATGGCGTGAGACATTTGCGAGAAAAAAACAGGAGTTGGCGAAATTTCCCCCCCCCTCCACAGCGGTAAGGTCCTGCACCTTCTCCGAAGGTTTAGGTGACTTCTCCGAAGGTTCAGGTGACATCCTTCACCAATATTTTTGGCGCTCCTACACCCATGGGTGGAGGTCAGGTCCAGGTCAGGTAAAAAAGGTCAAATTTCGAAGCTGTTAGTTTTGCATAAAATGGGTATTGATTCGATGCAGCTCGACACGAGGAGTCTAATGGTAGTCTTTGTTTTGCGCTGCGAGGTCTAGAATTGCTAAAAAATTGAGTTTGAAAATTTGACGTCATCAATTTTTGAAGTTTTTTCGCTATAACTTGGCCAAAAAAGAGGTATCCATCTCAAATTTGGTATGTAGATAGAAGGTGGTAGGGACTATCACATGTTTTCCGTTTTCTTTTAAATTCAAAGAACATTTTGGATTTTTCGGCTATTATATTCAAAAAATCTATTTTTTGATTATTCGGGGTCAAAATTCAAAAATTACAAAAATCCGAGATAACAACCTTGTAGGCCACTAAATTTTCCACCTTTTATGTCCGAAACATTTTTCTGTATCTCTAAAGCTGTAGGCCTGACAGCTCTTCCCGCGAAACCTTTTTTGGGTCGAAAATGGCAAAAATGACGTCACTCTGACGTCATTACCGGCCAACCTATCATAGCCTTTGGAAAAAACTTTGGTCACAATGTGCAATAGCTATTCATGGGAAGGTACTGAAAGTTTGGTGACGATCGGCGGAGCGGTTCTGGAGATATATCGAAAAAACTGAAGTGGGAGGGCAAAAAAATGCCCCCCCACCGCCTGGAAGGTAAATGCCGTTGAAGCCGGTGGTACTCACGAGTTAATGCCGTCGTAGCCGGCACCGATGCCCACGTGGTCCACGCCAGCAACTCTCCGTATGTGGTTTATATGCGCTAGAACACACAGAAAAAAAGCACAGTTGGTGCAACTGCAAAACCTGCTAAAAGAAAATGTTGAGTGGAAAATTTATGAGCGGATAGTATTTCGTCATAATTGATGGCATTACCATGATCTGATAGAGGTACAGTCCACTGATAAAGTATTTTGCTGTTTTATCAATTTCAACAGATATCTTTGACTGACGACTTTTAAATACGGAGTGATCCAGGAGTAGGCACAAAAAAGTTGTCCATTGGATGCAGTTTGAGCTCAGCAAGGGCGGATCCAGTGGGGGGGGGGCATAGGGGCCAAGCCCCCCCCATTTGGCGCTGTAAGGGGGGCCAACATATCTTTTGGCCCCCCTTTCATCCGTGTTGTTTCTCACAGCCGGCCAATTTTTCAGAACTATTTTCACCATTTTCATCGACGCTCAGGCCGAACATCAACTTTTTTGTTATAGGTAGGTAAATATGAACAGAGATTTACGCACGAACGCAATTCAGCGTGCAGGCAACCAGCTTATGCAGCACAGACGACTTTATTTTCGACTTTATGTCCGTTTGGCCGTAACTGCAAGGCGCCGAGGCTGGCCGCTGCAGCGCTGGCTTCTATTTGTCCATGTTCTGCTGGAAGGTAGCCCAAAGATACTCGATCAGGATTAGAGTCCGGATGGTAGCCGGTTAATATCTTCAGAATTCCGGCAGGCTCGATTTGGACAACCGCCTGGACATTGGTAGAGCAATGAGCTGGCGCGCCGTCCTGCATGAAAATGCGTGTTGACCTGTCATCCACCGTCGAGGCCATGCGTCGACTAAGAACTGAGCCGCTGGAGGCTATTGTTGGTAATGGGCCTCAGTGAACTCTTCTAACATCTAGCGTCTCATGGTCCTGTCTGGAGGTGGGATTGTCCTTGAGTGTAAGCAGCTTTGCCAAATTATTCAACAATTGACCACTGTTCCTGGCCGCCATTTCAATGCGATTTCTGCCCCTGGCCAAATGGTGGGCGAATGCCCGATCTCGGACAATCAGCAACACTGCCAGCAGCCGTATGCTTATCCCACCAGTGCGGGACTGCAAGCAGGCAGATGTCCCAACTGACTAGAAATAACACGCTGTGTTATTTTGGCCTGAAGTATGTCGACTGTCTGGTTCAGCTCCCCGAGAAAGAAATTCCTTACCTTCATTTTGCCTTCATTTTGCGACGCGGTCATTCGGGGGGGGGGGGTGAATCTGTGTATAACTTTCATTATAGCTCGGTGACCCATGGCCCGAGGTTCGGTCGCGGCCTCATCTTCCGCGGCCAAGGACCGTGCAATGCAAGGGTGCAGCCAAAATATTTATTCCTTAGGGGTAGAAACGATTAGAAACCGGATAAGTGTTGTCACAGGTAGAGGACAACACTTTTGCCGGACCGTGCATAAGACCACCCTGCAAATTCTCTTCAATCGGCTTTGATCCAGCAAAAATAGTCACGCGTTAAGGCTGAGCTACACTATGCGTGACCGTCCAGGAAATTACGTGCGTGATCTGCAGATCCGTGATTGCGAGACTCCCTTGACATCGGTTTCTGCGATTTTCCAGAATTTCCGTGAATTATTGTATTCTTACGTAATAATAACAACTGACCAGTAAAACGCCTTTTGGGCGAAGGACGAGCGAGCGAGATAGTGAGCCCTGCACGTGCGGAAGGGCGAGAGGGTACTTCCAACGGACTTGTGCAAAGCACCCTTCTAACCGGTTGCTAGCGGTGTGCCAAATTTGAACGCAATCGGCCCAGCCGTTCCTGAGATCTGGAAGCGGCATTCTGCACGTGCGCACGTGCAAATGGGGTCCAAACTGACTTTTGCACGGCACCCTCCTAACCGGTCCCCAACCGTGTACCAAATTTGAGCGCAATCGGCCCAGCCGTTCTCGAGATCTGGAAGCGCCCCCTGCACGTGCGCACGTGCAGTAGCACCCTAACCGCAACACATGGGAATGCATTGCCTGGTGGGTGCCTACCTGTATGCCAAGTTTCAGCGAACTCGCCCCAGTAATTACCGAGTTATTGAAATGGGAACAAATTTGACACCTCTTATTGTTGTATTTTGCACGTGCACTGGGGGTCACTCACATAGATCAAGAGTATCCGACCTTTGGTAGAAGGGATGCAGCTACCCTATAAAAATTACCGCAAGACAATCGCTCAAGCCGCTGCTGAGATATGGGCCTCTCAAAATCACTACTTTTGCAAAACTGCTTGAACACCCTTGACTTTTCACGTGGCACGTGCCACGACGGTCACTGAGATGTATCAAAAGTAGTCAATTACGGGGTAGAAGGGATGGCGCTACCCAGCAAAAAAGACCGCAGGGCAATCGGTCCAGCGGTTGCTGAGATATAAGCCTCTCAAAAGCGTTACAGGCCGGGTCGGGCCGGGCCGGGCCGGGCCGCTCATACTGAGATTTTTCCCTTATATTGAAAAGCCTTCGCTTCGCTCGCTGCGCTCGCTCGCTCGTAATAAATGGTTTCGCAACAAACGCTTAAGTTTGCTCTCTTCTATACTATTTTATTAATAATTAATTTATTTTGTTAAAGGGACTATCCCACCTTCTAAAATGTTGTTAACACGCGCACTGCAGGGGGGGGTTGTTTTCAACCCCCCCTGTGGTTTTTCGCAAATCGCGAGAAAACGGCGGCGCGTAGCGCCGCCAAATTTTGCATACCTGTTCTCCCAACTTTTGCACACCTTGAGTAAAAATTTTGACCCCAGGTGACCTATGGTCAGGTCACCAGGTCAGGTCAAGTGACCCTACCTCGAAACGTAAATTTCGAAGTTTGCAATCCCACCAAGCCCACAGTTGTTGAGATATGATCTTGAAACCCACAGGAAATAGTAAAGTCATCACGAGCTACAACTTGTATATCTAGGAATTTTTATATCGATGACCTAAGGTCAGGTCATTTTTGCGACCGGCCCATTATAAGTCAATGGGAGAAATTTCAACTTACTCTGAATGCCATCCTATGACTTCAATACGCTCAGGATCATAGTATTACAGGTCCCTGTTGGTGATTTCACCGAAACATATCACTTATGACCTTTGGAAGGTGATCTCCAGGTCATCTTAGGTCACCTGAGGTCACCAGCGGTTTTTCTTCAATAACTTGAGATTGAATAGAGATAGAGACTCCGTTCGACGTTTATCGTGTTTTTCTCGTCAATGCGGATCGAATGATATGCAACATGACCTATTTCGGTCAGGTCATGACCTTGACCTGAGGTCAATTTTTCAACTTGACCTTTCGAGGTCATATCATATATCATTCAATGCGCCTTGACGAGCTAAGAACGATGGCGTTCGAATCGATCCTCTGTCTTGTGTGCAAGACAAGTTATTCAAGAAAAACTACCGCGAAATTCCTGTTGTGAAAATCGTAACATTTTGTCTTCGGTGACCTCTGGTGACCTCGTTTTTGACCTGACCCAAAAATGATCTTAGTATTTCTTGTAGATCTCATCTCAACCTATCCAACGCCGTTTACCGCTTGTCGCTACGTTGCGCCGTTTTCGAGATTTCAGGGGGGGTTGTTTTCAACCCCCCCCCCCTGCAGTTCGTGTTCGGCTCAGACCCGCTGCAGTGCGCGTGTTAAAACCAGTTAAATTGTGCCCGACTTTATAGATTGGATGACCAGGAACACGGTTCTGGCATTTATTTTTCATTAAACATCTTAGGCTTCCCATATTCCAAATACAAACTTTCAACTATGTGACGTCACAGCCCAAAATTACCTCCTTCCCCAGGCCACATTACTGTCATAAAGCTGATTCTTTTTACTCTGTAGGCACCACAACAAAGTTCAGGCCAAGTTTTAAGCGATTTTTCAACGAACAAACCCATTTAAATCAGAATGACTAAACGAGGTGACGTCACACTAACGGTCGCTCCATGTTGAAGATAGGGCCTTGCACAAGGCCCATTTTCAAATGAAGGGAACGAATTTCTTCAACACCAAGAGGCCGTGGGGGTTGCAACCTGAACCTAGATAGATAGTGGTTTCTGAACCTCGCCGCAAACTTGGCTATCTCAACTCAAACCCCATGTTAAAGGTGGGATAGTCCCTTTAATAAAACATCAGAAACACATGAAAATTAAAGAAACAATTATCAATTACGTCACTTGGATTCATACGCTGCGCCACCAAGTGCGCCAACAACTATCTCATGTCACGCAATCTCTCAGACTCTGCAAAAAAGTTCGTAGCTCTGAACTTTATATCGGTACGGAACATCCTGACCGTCCTGACTATGCGGCATTTCCTGTACTGAACATCCGGGATTTCCTTGACTGAATCTGCGTGACCACAGTGTAGCCGACCCCGTGTATTTCTTATCAGCTGAACTTGGCCTGCGTATCGATTTTCTGCAAAACCCGCAAACTCGCAGATTGCGTCCTAGGTCATCTAAAATAATAGCGTTTTAGGCAAGCTGAATTTACTTTTCGTGAAGTTTTTTGACTGCATGTTTTTTGGTAAAAGCTTCTCAGATCATCATTTCATGTAATATGGACACATAAACACTCGGTGCACATATCAGTATAAACACAGACAAACACATATAATTGACCTTGACCTAACTTGACCTGAAATGACCTCAGCAGCAAAATTATGGTCGGGTAGTGTTCCAAAGAGGTTCTAGCTGGCTTGCCACCAGAAAACGGCATCGTCATCGGTATATGATAAGCAGCGCACTTGATATCCAACGGTGACCCAAAACAGCAACATTTTTTAGTTTGACCTGACCTGGAAGGTCAATGACTGACCTGAGAAGGTGAAACTGGGTATCATTGGATTCGTCTCTTCCCTAAGAATCTTTTTGGTCTTAACCGCGAAGCTCTATCTCCAACAGGAACGAAATGGCGCGGGGGGGGGGGTGGCAACCACCCCCCACCCCCCATGTGCGTTCTAGGATGGGAAAATGGTATGTGCGGGCGAGGGTAAACACCCCCCCCCCAAAAAAAAAACCCTTAATATT